CCGGCTCTTCCCGGACGCTTGCTGCGGAAGCGGCCCCGCCGCGCCGCACCTGGGCCCCGCGGGGCGCCGGGCCCGCCCTGTTTACGTTCTTGGGCCTTTGGCGCGCGCAGCCGGACGATCCCGCTCCCCTCGGCGGTGACCACGAGTTTCCTGGCACCTGCTCGTGCTTGAGCGCGGCGCTGTTGTTGTTGAGCTGGGTTTTGCTGTTCCCGGGACACCGGGGAAGGCCAGATGGCTAGAGCAGGTGCCAGAGCAGGACCAGGAGCGCGCAGCGCTCAACGGAGGCAGAGCGGCCTCGTCTCCCTCGGCCCCTGTGTGTTCACGGCTGCGCGCGGGGTCCCTCCGGGGTTAAACACTTCGCTAAGACAGGAACGTGGCTAAAGCCGCAGGAGACGGCGAAGCCGGTGCAGCTCTTCCTGTTCCCCACCTTCCCTGAAGTCAAGTGAAATTATTTGTAGTTGGGGAAGCGGTCACTGGATCGTGCTCCAGGCTCTGCTGCTGTTTACTCCCTGACCTTTGGTAAATCTTTTCACTTTCTGATCTCCGAGTTTCTCCCTTGGGACCAGTCAGGTTTCGCCTTTCTAAACCCACCTGCAGGATCAGCTGGAGCCTGGAACAGAAACATCAGTGGGGGGGTGTGTGTGTGGGGGGGAGCTGGACTCAGGAGTTAAAAGATGCTCGCTGCTCCCAGTGCTGACTGAGACATGCCTTGCCTGTCCTGCTGCTAATCTATGCAAATGACATTACAAATCAGCCCCCCAACATCTGTCACGAGAACGAAGCTCTGTTTGCTCCAGCTCTGAGGGAACCAGCTGAGCCCATAGGAATGGGTCAGCAAAGCCAAGCGCTCCCTGGGCAAGCAGTGGTGGAGGACATTGCCCTGTCCTGCCACCAAGTCCTTGGAGCTCTCCTATGACAGCACCCTCCTGGCCCCGCTGATGCCAGGAGAAGATGCTGTGCTGCCCAGGGAACAGCAGGCTGGAGAGGGGCCTCAGCGTGGGCAGAGCAGCACGGCAGGTCTGCCAGGCCTCCCCCTCTGCCCCCACAAAACCCACCCGAAGCCCCTCTTCTGCAAGCCACTCTTGGGTGGCTCCTTCCTTCCTCCTAGTCAGAGTTGCTCCCAGTGCCAGGTGGGGGAAGCCTCTTCCACACCTGCTTCAGAGTGGGGGGACCACTATAGACCTCTGCAGCCCCTGGGCCTAGGGCAAGGGACCCCTGGATCCCAGCCCCACCGGTCACACCAGCACGCCTGGGGAGAGGAACCAGCCCTGGACGAAGAACGCGAAACTCCGGCCAAAACATGCCGTTCCCTGTAAAAAGTGACCCTGTGGAAAGCAGCCACTAATGAAGAGATCTGTCTTCTGCACGATGAGGGAATGGATAAAACAGACCCTACACTTGGGTGGAGGAGTTGTTTTTGTTGCAAAATCTCCTTCACAACATCAAAATGAAAATCAACCCCAAAGCATGCAGACAGCTTCTCCCTGGCACTGCTGGAAATGACGACCCTTTTCCAGTCACTGTAGTTCTCCTCCTGGTGATCAGTCCATGGTGGGACTGAATAGGTTGTAAGGTAAAGACCAAGGTATCGTTAAGAAACGCGAGGAGGACTGCTCTGTAACGTACCAAGGATCACATATTGTAATGGTCTTTTCAGCCTTGAAAAAATTATAAAACTTGCCCTATGTCCAGTTAATTCTTTTAAAGTTACTGACCAGAAGTGTTGATTTCCTGTTGCTGGTGACTCTCAGGTGCACTTCCCAGCCACGGCTGGTCTCTCGAGAAGGGCTGCGCTCCGAGTGGCCCTGGCGTGCAGTGGCTTGAGCCTAAAACTCATCAAAACGCAGTCCTGGTGATTCAGAGACAGGTGCTGAAGGCAGTGCCTGGGCTTTGGCCTCAGCAGCTTTTCTTGCCTTTCATATCAGGTACAAACATTCGCACCCTGACCTCCTGGGAGATATTGCAAAAACACTTAAGCAGCCCTCGCTGTCGAGGAAAGCAGATGTGCCAGGGTGTAACCCTCCTTCCTAGACGCAGCTGTCTGAGGTCCAATTCCTTCGGTATTGGAGAAGGAATCTCAGGTAGCAGGTGGGTGCATGCACAAGATGCAGGTAGTCCTGAAACGCTCTACATTAAAACTTACAGTTAAAGCTGTTTGCTTTAGCTTTCATAGCTGTTTGCTTTCATAGCAAAGCCATGTTTCCTGGGCAAAGTCTACGGGTGAGAGCGCACAGGCTCCAGCCAGGACCTGCCTTTAGTCGCTGCTCCAGCTGTGAAGGCACAACGTGTCAGTATGGGGAACATGCATCTCTCCTCTTGCTGAAAAGCCTCCCTCGCTCAGCTGGAGGCTGCCTGGAGCAGAAAAGGGGAATGTCCATCCCTCCAGCAATGTTCTGGGATGAGCCCAGCAGAGAAGCCCCTTCCCAGTCTCGACAAGTGCTCAAAATACTCATGGCCATCACTCTTCTGCCTCCATGAGAGCCTACTGAGGCCTGGGCTTGCCTTCCTTTAGCTGGTGCACCTGGTCTGCCCAGGACACTGTGGGGAAAGGCTGTCCTGCTCCCGCTCCAAAGGATCTGGGCTCAGATTGGCTCCTCGAAGGTGCATCTACATCTCCAGGGCCTCCCCTGGCTGGGAAACTACATTGAAGCTGCACCACAGCACTAATACAGCCAATGAGCTGTGCAACCCCTCACCCCAGCAGGACAGACAGCTGGGGTCAGACACGTTACATGGTTTAAAGCAGAGCTGGATGCATGCTCAAAGCAAGCTAGCAGAAGGGAAGATAACCTCGCTGCCTCATTTTCCATGGATTGTAGCAACTCAGCCAAAAAACTTGCACCTTTCCTCTAAGCAGTGTACTGCTGGGATGCTGCTAATCACAGTCTTCCCCAGGGCTGTACATCTGGCTGCTTGTGCTGTCTCACAGCAAGGCATTGTGATAGTTTAATATCAACTGGAAACTCACTAGGAGCACGCTGTTGACAAAGATCTGCCGAACCCAGAGAGGACAGGGCTCTGCAGAGGCAGCTTTGCTGGTTGCTACAATTCACATCCATCTTTTTCCTTCCCCAGCAGCTCCTGCACAAAACAAGGGCGAGAACTGCCCCATGGGCACCAAGCCATCAACTGCCTCTTAGCTCACAGGAGCAGCAAGGAGGGGAGGACAATAGCTGCAGAATTTGGAAGCGCTTATCAACCTAACTGATACAGCAGGGTTGCCATGAAGCCGTGGTCCCACCAGTATCCTTTTTTAAGGCCCTCGGCCTAGCTGTATGGCCAAGCTTTGTCTCTAGCGAGAAACTGCAAAACTAGCTTATTTTGCTCAGACCTGGTCCCTGTATGGATGTGAAGTCCCAACGTGCTCCTGCAGCATCAAGTTCCTTCTGTAGGCAGCGGCAGCAGCAGCAAAGGCAAGATGGGGCTGGCAGGGAAAGCCAGAGGCATTGGCAGGACTCTCCAGCAGCA